AAAACACTAGTTTAAGGTGGCAGAATTTTATTCCCTCCCTTGGATTTTGTCCCGTAGAATCACTGGGGATATTACAAAAACAACAAGGAGTCTGGTGGCACCTTAAAGACTAACAGATTTATTTGGGCATAAGCTTTCGTGAGTAAAAACCTCACTTCTTCGGATGCATAGAGTGAAAGTTACAGATGCAGGCATTATATACTGACACATGGAGAGCAGGGAGTTACTTCACAAGTATGATATGGTATTGCCACCCTTACTTCTGCCTGCAGAGCTGGGCTCTCAGTCAGCAGCCACCACTCTCTGGCCGCCCAGTTCTGAAAGCAGCAGTGCAGAAGGAAAGGTGACGTGGTATGGTATTAACATCCTTACTTCCACCCTCTGCTGGCGGGGCCCTGCCTTCAGAGCTGGGCTACTGGACAATAGCTGCCACTCTCCGGCTGCCCAGTTCTGAAGGCAGTGCAGAAGTATGGGAAGCAATACTGCAACCCCACCTAAAATAACCTTGTGACGCCCCCCACACACACAATTCCCTTTTGGGTCAGGACTCCCAATTTGAGAAACACTAATCTCCCCCCATGAAATCTGTATAGTATAGTGGGAAAGCACACAAAAGACCAGTTTTCACAGTCCATGATGCGTTTTTCATGGCTGTGAATTTGGTAGGGCCCTATTAATGAGTGAACACACATGGTTGAATTGCTTGTTTTGATGTGTCGTTTTTAATTTTAATATATTATATTTCTATGTATACAATACTGTAGTTTCTTAAAATAATGAGATTTTGTCAATACAAAACCTAACTACATTTTATCAAATCTTTACTTAAAAATGAGATCATTCTGTTTGTCATTGCTTTGGTGTTAGCAGCATGGCAGTATTGATCAATTTCATTCTGAAGTATACAACTCTTAAGGAGTATTTATCTTAGGTTTTTTTTGTTTTGTTTTTTTTAACTACACTACATGCGGTAGAATTAACCTAGAGAGAACCTAGTTGTGTATGTAATGTGTTTCCATTTAATTAAATGGACAAAGTCAACTTAAGACAATCTTTTAACTATTGCTAGTAACACTTAAATTTTACTTTTTTTAAATGTAAATAAAAATAAAATATATGCCTTTATAAAATATCTAGGCTCAAGGTACCTATGCTATAAATTAAAAATACACAAAATAATACAAAGGAAATAGCCACGAGCATAAATGACAATTTTAAAAATCCAGATTACTTGTGACTTTTTATATTCTTCTTTTAGTTCTTATATTTCTTTCAGTTCAGAGAAAGGAAGTCAGTTAATTATCTTGTACTTTGCTTACTTTTGCCTCAATCATGTTTTGCGTGGGCAGAATCCAAAACGTTCACAGAGTTCTGTTGATGGGTATGGCTTGTAGAACATGTTTCAGGGCAGCAGCCATATTATGTATCACCATAGTGCTATTATGTTTGGGTTTCAAACAAGGCAGGAGAATGCCTCTGTTCTTAAAAATATTTTTCCAAAATTTGAATAAATTCTGTAAATTTTTATGGATTGGGGGTTTTATAAAAGCTCGTCTTTACACAACTTAAGTTTTGGACCAAATTTAAGGTGACAGTCTTCCTTTAAACTGTGACAACACTTTTAAAACACTAAGGAGGCAGTCAGTCCCATTGACTTGAATGGGACTGCTCGCATGAGTAAAATTATGTGTGTATAAGTATTTGCAGGAATGTTCCTAAAGTTGTAATGAGGTACAAAATTGAATATGGCCTTAGGCCACTGTAGTTTATCAACCCTTTAATTCTTGTCTGGTTTAAAGAACAAGTAGTAAGGTAGCACTAGTGGGTGCAAACTGGAGACTTTTGCTACTCCACAGATTCTGCACTTGTCTTGGCATGGTTCTACTTCTTAATGACTATCTGAATAAATCATTTTGTAGAGAAGTAATTAAATAAAGAATATGGGTGTGAGGACTGGTTATTAAGTATCTGAGAGCTGATCTTTATATAATTTGATCTGCTCTGGTCAGATACTGTAATGTAATGCAAAAAAAGTGTTTAAAAACACTTCTTCCTTTTGTTTTGCTGGCAAGTAAAAACATTTTTCACTCACTTCACATCTTAACATTATATAAAAATAAATTCCAAAATATAGCCTATAAATATGCATAAACAGTCTCCTATACATTAATTTCTCTAAGACTGTTTAGTGTCATCAGAATTAATATACAACAAACTATTTAAATGGTTGGGAGGATATTTTAAAATGTATATCAAGCATGGGGGCTCCATTGCTGAAGTTTTCAAAAATGTTGTCCCCCCAAAATAATACTTTTACTCTTCTGGAATACTGCCAAAATATACACTGGTGGTTTCCAGGCATAATTGATATTTTTCAGAAAAACATATATTGGAAACATTAAGTAGCGGAAAATGTATTTTATGACATTTTTCTTTTAAGGCACTTACTGATGCCAAACATAGAGTTCTTAATATTCCACTTAAATATTTGACTGTAACTTAATACTAAAATAGTTTAAAAATTACAAAAAAATCATTCTGAAATGATATAGTGCTCACGCAAGTAAAATTAACAATGATTGTTAAAACAGAACACTTAAATTGCATGGTAAAGAGGCAACTAATATTAAGTGTGCAAGAGGTGAAGTGTGTGTTCTTTTGTGAAGGCCTGCAGTTGTTCCATATGACTATTAAACTTTTTTTTTTTTTTTTTTAAGACCTGAGTTTTGGAGGCCACATTTTATCCTGGCACTCTCATTGTCTGTCTTGCCAGTTTTGAGGTGCTCTCTGGTAGCAGATGGAGGCCATCCAGAAAGAAGCACTATAGCAAATATTTTAATACAATGAACAGTTGCAGTGTTACAGTTTATTTGTGTAAATCCTATAAGTTTGATTATTAGAGGGCATTTAGCTCAACTCCTTTTGCCTTCTGTGTTGAGATTAATAACAGATCAGATTCTAATAGTAGCACTATAAATCAAGTCATCGTCTTTTCACAGCTGTAAGTCACAGGGGGTACTATAATGTGGCTTGTACCACCCTGATATTTAAGGTGGAGATATGCTAGTAAAAATAGTTCCCAGTATAGTACTCTACCTTGATCCAAGTGAAGGCTGCCTTAATCAGAATAAGCATCATATGTTGGGACTTATGATCTCGACATCATACTTTTCCGTATTACAGATGAGAGCAGCTGCAGTCAGTGCTATGATATGCAAATTTGGTGCAGCTGTCAAACTTCTGCAGAATGATCAGTGTGGCCCTCAGTTGGGGAACTCCTGCTGTAGTTTGTGCATAAAGGCTCCATAATCACTTGATTTAAAATATAGTAATATGTTGCAATTTGGAGTAATTTCAGCATAGTTTTGTATGTGTGTGTGTGTGTGTATATATATATATATATATATATATAGTAATTTTAATAAATTAAAATGTCTTGTTT